GGAGTAAAACACACTGGACATTATGGAAAAATTCTCATCGAGCTAACTTTCTGCATGCATTACCTCGTTTTAAGTAATGACTTTCTGCATATATTAACCCTTAGCGGTCTAAGCTTTTAACATGTTGACAGACTGCCAAGTCGGACGTTTTTTCCACAACCAGAAACTACGTTATCGATAGGATGAATCGTGGGCTACCTTTGTTAATTATAAATAGTAAAACGTTTAGTCGATATGTTCAAATCCTTCGATCTAAATTACGTAACAAAAGATGTGCAAACAAAACGTTGTTCGTTCGCGTTATAAATGAGTTATCTGAAATAAAAAAATACTAGACAATTTAGAAGCATGCATTTGAGTATGATTTTATTAATTATAATGCGAACGGAGCGTACGCGCGTGTAGCGTGTGACGGAGTTTACGCGTACGTTCGATCGCGGAGCGAAAACGAGAATGCTTCTCTCGCGACAATATGATACCGAGTGCCACTTAACGGCACGAGTAAACACTCGACTCCTATTATTGCATTTGCGGGTGGCAGCTATGGAAATGGCATAGGGAAACCGAAAGAAACAAAGACGAGAGGGAATGGAGACCGAATATCATATATGCGACGAGATAAAAAGAGTAAGAAAGCGAGAAACCAGACATCCAGCAGTACATCCTCGTTTGTAAATATGACGCCTTTTAGATTTAAACGAAACACCCTGTATGTTAAAATTGTATTGAAAATTAAAAAGTCAATCATCGACTCTAAGGTACTAAAGAAGTAAAAAAACTTAAATATTCGTTAAAAGAAATAAAATCTATCGTGTCCAAATATAATCCTATTTACTTCTCCAATTTAAACGTACGTCCTCCTGCTGATGGTTATTCAAAAGCATTGTACGACGTGTGCCGGCGTGTTTCTGAAGTTCGTATGGCGAATCAGGTTTTGTATTGCCCGTTTCGTGCTCATGTCATTGGAAAAACAACAAAACTGTCGACGAGTGGTAGCGAAAATGAAATCGTCGAGTAGCCAAGAGCCACTCTTTCAAAAGTTCCGAGCTTCCGCTGTTGTCTCTGATCGGGAGTCAAACGGGGAACGCTTCGAGCGGATTCACGTAAAACTGGTAATTACAATCGGAGACGAACGACTGGACAATTTCGGCGCCGTTTGCCTAAAAACTCGATACGAATGAGACCGGCGGCGCCGGCGTCCAATATTCGAGGCGACAAGAGTTGGCGGAAAACTGCGCGTCAAAGGGGACCAGGTACCATGTGTCGCTGAACAATTTAGTGCACCACGACGCTACTACGAATTGCAATACTAGGCACTGGCGATTCCGGTTTACCAGTAAATAGAGAAAATTCCTTTCAATTGTCCATCGATAGCGTGACCGTGGATAAAAGTGTGACGGCGCTTCTCGTACTCGTCGCTAGAGGACATCCGATCGATCCCTTTCTCGCAACCACTCGAACTCTGTTTCCTATGGAGGATGTTAAAAGAAAAGGGGCCGGAAGTAGCAGGTCGCTTTTGCACCTGTGCAAACAAATTAATCAATAGCATGCCGAGACGTTGCGAAGCTATAATTGCAAATGGAGGAGATTGGGCACACTATTAAGTAAGAGGTATTAGCTTTTTAGATATACTTTCGGTCTACATAAATTTTTTTTAAAAAGTTTTCGTTTTTTGCAGAAAGATCGCGTCCACGCTCTTGTGCTACAAACTGTATATGTCCTTCTAAATGTATGTCTAATTGTAAGTTTCAATTTTCCAGATCAGATCCCTCTCAAAACCAAGCGAGATTGATTCGCTGCATTCTCTTCTACCACAAAAAAATGGACAAATTATTCAGTCGGCATATTTGCAATGCCTCGTCCTGTATAATTCGCTTCTCTTTTTTGCACGAAACTGATTACTCCGAGAGTTCCTTTGCTTCTTTCACCCTGAAAATTATCGGAACTAACTCAAGGATTAAGCACGACGCCTTGGTCCGAAACGATCCAAAGCAGTGTCGGCGCTGAACCGCTTTATTGGGGGAACGTTAATGAAATTGGTCTTCATTTCGCATCGTTCGTATAACGCTGCTAATTGGGGGGAGTTACTCCTCCTAGTTACAAGAAAAATCACTCCCCGCTTTATGCAATTCCAGACGACTACCCGACAAATGGAGCCTCCCTTTCATTAAATTTACACTCCCTTGACTTGAAAGGCCAGGCTTCCGTAAGTCGCGTCCGTAAGTGGCCGAGCATCGGCGTCTTTAATTCCACAGCAGCGCAAAGAGACCTCGGAATAAAACCGCTCGTCGATAATTACTAGGCTTGACGTTGTTGCTCCGCAACCTTTCGCCTGCCTATCGAAAGACGAAACTGCTTTGACACGGTATTACTTTGCTCGCCTGGTTCGCGGAAAGATGTTGGAAACTTTGTGAGAGTAGCAGCGTCGGCGTCGGTGGTTCTTCAGGGAGTCTTCTACTTTCAAAAGAGGGGTCTATTAGCAAGGTTTCTTCTCAAATGTTATTGACAATTATGATGTCAAACGTTGTATGTCTATTTATGGAAAAGGTAGGACAAAGCGAAAGCGTTGGAATATTTACTATGTATAATTCAACCTTGTTGATAACGAGGACGATTACATAATTGATTAAAAATAAAAACATACTCTAAATTTATTTGTTTGAATTTAATATAAAAGAAACGACATTACTTTATGGTCTCCCTAATATATAGATAATTATTATATTATATACATATAATAATAATAATAATAATAATAATAATAATAATATATGAAAATAACCATTGCTCTTAAAAGCAATTAGTCAAATGATCGCCCACTGTAAGATGTCAATCGCTCACGTTGCGATGAAATGGTTTAAATCATACCGTTAGGAACGAGAATAAAAAATATTTAACTGTAGAGGGTTAAGAGCTACTGGGCTATGCTTTTCGAGTGCACACTCTCGCGAAGGTGAGACGTTCCATGTGTTATAAGGCCGTGGTTCTCGACGTAAGAAAAAAGACGACTTACGAAGACCGTGGAAGAAGCGAGGCTGAAAAAAAAAAGGAGTACGAGCCTCTGTACTCGCAATGCAGCCACTTCGCGCACCTACTTTCAAGCTGCAGGCACACTCGCGCGGGACTTGAGAACTTTTAAGAAGCGCTTACATAACCGAATGTACAGACTAGTTGACGTAGGAATCTCTACGTGACTTACTTGCGACGACGTGTCGACCCAACTCGGGACTTCAGTAAAAAATAATTTGTTTATAACAATAGCCTATTGCGCCACCTATTGTCTCCACCTTTCGAGCCAAACAGCGGCGGATCAACTGCCTCAAACATCAGTATATCGATTGGGCGCTAGCATGCCAATTTGAGAGGAAGAAGATGCTTCTAGAAGTTCCATTTAAATACGGGAAACTGTCTCGAGAAATTAATACGCAACTCTGATGAAATCGTCAAGCGATTCGAGTTGGCATAGTTAGCGCAAACTTCTTTTCACAGGTGTGTACATAGAGAGGATTCGATCGAACAAGAATACTTAAAGATCATTATACGATGCAAGAATGTTTTCCACTGGCGTATCGCTAACTTCGTTAGAAATTTTCCTGATTGGACGAGGAATCGGACAGGGAAAGTTTCTCGAACAACTTTCAAGATGTGCGCGGAGCTTCTTATTACACTTGTCGTTCGTTGCTTTAATCCGTGCCTTCGCTTCTTTAATTAACGCGAGAATTGCCGAGCTATCGCTCTGTGAAACTTTTCGGCTCATCATCTTTATGATAATAAGTTAACGACGAAGGCGGATCGAGTTTCGGCGCGCAACGCTTGTACCGATCGATCCTGTAAATCGCGGGACACGTCCGTTCTCGGAGATGTTTTAATTCGAAATCCTTTAATTAGAGAGTCGGCTTCCGCGGCATTCTTCGATGTGCTTACTCTTTAATTGCTTTTCTTCGATCGTTCCCAGCGCGCTTCGCATGCTTCACAAACTCCCACCAATAAAATCTCTCTTAATTGAGATTCGCGACCAACTCGATCCGCAAGAAAGTTTTTTCACCTCCCTCGGAGTTTAATTGTTTGTTTGAATTGCGCCAGCTACAGGTAGAGAGTGCGTTCCCAGGAATAAGGAAGCCATCTGTCTGTATTTGTGACAACAAGCTATTTTCTGACAAATTCATTTTTTATTAAAGTGGAGCGGAATTTTCGCCAATTTCTGTCGCGATCTATCGTTCCACGGAGTCATAGATCGTACAATTGTGTTTGCATGCGCGCGCAATGACATGCGAGTCTCCCGGGTCACCGCGTGTATTACATTTAAATAGAATTTTTGATAGGGTACGACGCTGCTCTCAATCCGTAACGAGAATTAAACCGGCCGGCGCGGAGTCACGTGACGCGCGAGCCGAAACGGATAATTAAAATCGCCCGAAAATTGATAATTTCCGCTAATGAGTGTAAATCAGCGGTATCTCGTTAATCAACGCATATTTGGCAATTCGGGTGGCGGGCGGGAGGAGAGGTTACATGGTAAACAGCACGCGACGAAACAGACTCGATCCACGCTTGCCAGGTTAATTAAACAATTTTTTCAACGACCATTGACTAATTGCAACTCCAGACAAAAAGTTTTTGCCCAAACGCAATAGTACGAAACTGTATGAACTTACTGCGATTGTTTAAGGATGTTTGGGAGATGTATTAAAATAGTCAGTATCGCTTCGATAAAAGTTCTTGAAAACTCCTGAAAATCCGGGTTGGCAAAGTAGTGTAAACCCTTAAAGGTTTCCGACGTCCCGTGAAAGTTCCACGAATAACGCCGCGAATCTATCGATAGCGATCTGGAATCGATGCACGCAGAGGTACCACCGATTCCGTTAACGCACGCGAAAGACATTTACCGCGGTATTGTTTGCTACTTGCTATATTTCATTGCGGATAGATCTTTCAGAGACGCGATATCGCGGCAGAAACGCGAACCGCGTGGATGAAACGATACGTAAAATGGCGCTTACTCAGGCTGAATCCGGAATCCTTCACGTGGATGACCACCATCGGTATCAGTACCATCACGATGAGGTTTACGACGTGGAACACCATCCCTGGCCCGTGAGCTATGATATCCTGCGGCACAAAATAGAGAGGTACAAGTTACGAGCGGAAGTTGCTTGCAGAGTACGCGCGCGGAACATGAAGGGGATTGAGGGAGGGGAAAAGCACCCTCGATTCCGAGGGGATGGACGTAGGGGGTTGGCGAAGATCGACGTAGTCCTGGAGAACGGTGAGCTTCGCAAAATACGAAGGCTGAAATGCACTCGGTTGAAATTATTATACATATATATATCGCATTCTATAATGAGGACAGGGAGATTGTTGTATGTAAACAATAAGAGACAACAGAAGACCAATATAAATACAGATAAAGGTAACGTACTTCCAACTATGCTAGTACTTGTTTTCTCTGATATAAGCGCACTCAGTCTGTTTGAATTTTTCATCATCTTCTAACCAATTCTCATTAAATAAATTGTAGAATTGTTTTTTATTCCAGTGACTGGTTTCCATTGTATTTCTTTTACCAGTAGAAAATGTTCAAAAATTTCAAAAAGTAGAAACTCCCCGTACATTTACCGAAAATCGTTTATTATCCATGCAGAAGCCTCCGTATATCCTGTCCGTGTCACTGACTGTGTCTGTGTTCAATAGAAAACCAAACGTCCTTGCCACGAGAGTGGGTTATTTAAATATGGTCCTGCGCGGACAAATTAAATGGGCGTTCACTGGGTGGCGCCGGCATTAATTTTCATATCGAGTTCCCAGGTCAGTAACCTTTTGTTACTCGTTCGTTTCAGCAAATAGAGAAAATTGTGTCGCATTCGTGTGCATTTTCTCCGACGCGTAGGGTTGTATGTACATCTCTCGCGACGAAACGAGTGGATACTACAAGATTCTTCGACACTCTTAAATACGCGTTTTTATCCAGGGGTTGAAAAGATTTCAAAAATAACTGTTTCACATTGTTATGTAAAGGTTCTGACTGAAACAGTTATAAGAATCGAAATGATGCTGTAACAGTTATTTTTATTATTCTTAAATAAGTTATTATTCAAGTCAAAATCTTGTATATTTTATTTTATATGAGTACATGATGGACATAATCCAAGAACTTGAAATGGTCGGTATTCCACAGCTCCCTCTACTTTCTTACACAAAGCTAGATTACTGGTCACCCAGGGAATTTGTTTTTCGAAACAAACTAATGTTCAGAGCTCTGAACATTAGTTTTTACCCCTTCTTGGGGATCGTAGGGTTACTGGGTTAATCTGAGCCTTCTCGTTCTTTCTACACATGATACAGAATTCATAGATATCTACAAAAACCTGTGAGAAATTCCTGCATAGAAATCTGCTCGAAGTCGTGTGAACGTTGAAAGCGTAACGAACAGCTCCTCCTCGCTCCTTTTTCTGTTCAACATTCCGACTGCGAGCGAACGTTAGGCAAAGCAAATATTAAGGCCACCGGCGACAAATGTAACACGAAAGCGTGCCGTGGAATATTTTATATTAGATGAGAAAGTTTCATCGCGTTTGTCTTCCCGCTTTATCATTGTCTTTTCGTCGTTGGTACACGCGATGCTTTATGGAAGCAGCTGAACGACAAGCTCGAATAATTAAACGCGTTTAAATTTTGTATTGAACATCCCAGAATTAGTATTTCAACTATATTTCAACGGACAGACATAAAAACGCATACTACGCATATTACGTAAATAATGGCATTTATCTGATTATTAGAACAGGAGATAGGAAGATAGGCGACATATACAGCGAAATATATTCGAGAAAATATTAGACATAAAGACCGGAAACAGAATTTGTAAATTACAAAACTCCCCTTGTTAGATAAAAACGAATTTGAATATATGTCTCTTTCTACGAATAAAGTTCAGCATAAGAGATTGGCGAAAAATGTAAATAGTTTCTGTAATTTTCCTTGTGAAGCACGAAGTGGGTCAAAATGACCGCGTTTTTTAAACTTAGCATTAACCACAACTGACTGGGTAATCGACGAACCTTCCATCGATGTGACGTCACGGAAAGTGCGCTCGTCCAGTCCGCAACTAAACCGACGGCAGTCGATACGCCGCCAGGACAAATATTTACGAAACGCTTGACCCAATTACACGGTTACAAAAGAATACCATGAATTTCAAGTTTGGTGTGGAAAATTGCACAACTGAAACATTTACACGAGCGAAAAAGGCGAAGGGTCGGCCACGGCAGGGATTCTCTGGTTCGTCTTCGGGTACAAAGAGGAACGAGGCGGCCGTAATAACTCACCCCGCAAGCCTTTGATCGCGTCGAACGAATACGGGACAGAAAGGAATTAACAGGAAATGGAATTCCGGGCTGATAGAATTAACAGTACATGTTAATCGAGACAAATGGATCTATCAAGATAATCAGCCAAGGTAAAAGCCGCTCTAATACTCGGCCATAAAACCGTGACATTACTTACAACGCGTACCCCGTCACTCTTCGGGTTAATAAAAATCCGGCCATTTGCATTTTAATTAGTTCGACGGTTCAATCTCCTTTCGTACGCTTTTTTTTTCGTCATACCTATACACCCTGTAGCCTGCATTTTCTCGCGTATTATACACGATACGTTCCCCTGGTGTTATATTTATGTATAGGGTGTTCAATAAAGTGCAGTTAAACTTTCATTATGTAGACAACCATTATATTGCAAGAAGCTATAAAATTGTTATAATAACCGTTATACGAACGTTGTATTTTATGAACCCATATTATTATTTATTATTAGACTGTAGATCTTTAAGCATCTAGTACAATTGAACCTTCACCGAAATCAAGGAAAGTAGATCTTAAGGCCTCACTCAACCCTCTTTTTCAAAGGGTTTCAACTTTTTTTCTAGCAGCATAGCATCTCTTTTCCTTATGTTATTTGACAAATCTACATTTTTCGTGTTGTTGCGATTTCTATATATAACTATTACTTATGTCAATTAAGAAATAAAGGAAGAGAGAGTGAGAGAGCGTGAGTGAGTGAGAGAGAGAATCGATGGAAATTGATACGAGGTGTATATTGGATTGAAAGTCGCGCGCTTTGACTCGTGTTAGTTTTGAGGATTAATTTACCATGTATTATTCATACATGATGATCATTCGTATCGACGGATTATTCATACAGCGTTATTACGCGTTCGTCATTAGCCGAATTATTACTCGATTAGCGGACGACGATTAATCAAGGTACAGTAATTATCAAATTCAGCGGGCTGCGTTACTATTTGCTACGACCAGCAAATCAGCTGCTAGAAGAATGCAATTTCGACCGCTGTTCCTGTCCGACATACTAATTACACGTTCAAATATATCGTTCACGGACGGTCTCGTACACATACCCGGTCGATTTCATCCGACAAAATTTAATTAAACCGCGAAGCTCGTAAAAAACAAATTCGAGTATGTTCGTTGGGAAGCGTAGCATAGAAATCTATTAGGTGAATTTTCCGTATATGTAGTACTTGGCAGTTTATTTAAGACTTTTAGCCCTTTGTACTCGGTTCTCCACTCTGAAGGGACACCGTAAGTCTACCATGCCACTCGGATGTCCTCTTTCAGGAGACATCGAAATTTATTAATGATTACGCCAGAAAATCTGACGCCAGCGAAATTGTTTGAATCCGCGCGTTCGCGTGTTGCACATTAATTGTGTTATTAAGAACATTTAGCCGAAAAAAATCTTGACACTTTGAAGGAATCCAACGTAGATCTCTGCGGGGTTGATCGATCGCGAGTCGCGGTCCCCGCGGGACAGAACGAAGCACGGGCAATGTTTACACCGACGCGATACCGCACGGGAATCATGTATTTGCGCGACCACCATACCGTGAAGGAATATACGATATAACGTATATAGACGTTAGCCAGAGCATCGCTAATTCGCGTTGACGTGGAGGCGAACGAGGCTATGCAACGTGATCGTCACGCTACGCCGATCATCAAACCGTAGTGCGCGTTTCATCGGCCGGCTAGACCATCTTTATGGTTCTACGATAACGGAAGAACGCTGAATCCAACGTTAAACTCACCATTATCGGTTCACATAATGCCCCGTCGTATATGACATCGTGTAACGACGCTTCTTCTTTCACCAAAGAGAAAAATATTGCCGTGCCGAAATATCCCATTCTATTTATTCGAGAATATTTTCAAATTTGTCAATATTACTGTCGGTGAACTCTACTTGACAAAGTTTTGTGTTGGTCTTTGATACAGCAATTGAAGGATTAATAAAAGTTCGAAATCAGAATACGTTCTACTTAAGCATTCTGAAGAATATGAAATAAAAGTAAGAGAACGGGATGACCAGACGCTATAACGAAGCGCCACAAAGGTATCATTTCGCGAACTGCTTCAAAGTCCAAAGGGACAGTAAGGGAAATTGCGAAAGCAGCTGGTGTTGAAACTCGTGTAAAGATTGTACGTCGCGTGAAAACAACAATGTGAATACATCAAGCGAAAAAAATTGAGACGTGGCACGATATTAACTTCTCCGCGCGAAAAGGTGGATTTAGACTTTGGATGATACTTTAGAATGAAGGAAATATCAATTTACTGAAATGAATTCTTCAGATTCATGGATTTGTTGGATTCGTGATCCAAAAGAGAAAGAAGTAATTTTAAGAGGTAAAGGGTACTTCCACGTTTCAAAAATGGCGTTTTTAATCGTAAATAATGGCAATTTAATTATTAATATAAAAACAAACATAGGTACACGTATAGTATTTTCATTCAAACTAGAGTTATAAATGCTTAAACGTAAATGCACAGAATTAATTTCTACAACTAATAATTCACTCGCATCATCAAAAATGTTTCATTTAATAAACATAATACAACAAATGTTAACCAACGCTTTGAAAACGATCTGTTTCTGAAACTTCAATTGACTAGCGAATCCCGTTTAACGTTAAATATAATCATTCGCCGTCGTACACGTGAAATGAATTTCTAAGCGGAAGTTCGCAGGTTAAATAAATTCAAATGGATTCCGTGATTCGAGCTACAGTCTAAAGGAGATGCCACGAACGCGGTGATGTTTAATTGAAATCGGTACGTTCTCGGTGTGCGTTTAAATCTGGCTTTCGTCTCTTCCTGTCGCGCGTCAAGTTAATAATGCACGAGCTGGTTTGGGGTGAGTATCAACAAACCTTCGCTTTATAAACTCTGTTTAATTCACGGATTCTCGGTGTTTATACTGTTTATCCGGATCTGGCTCAGAAGCAAGTTGTCGATTCGAGTTGCTTCGATTTTTGATCAGTTAATTCTCGCGGCCGTTTTGAAAAGTGAGTACGTAAAATGCGTTGCAAAAGTAAGCCATGACGTATGTACAGTGGATGTACACTGATCAATTTTTCAAAAATCTTTTGTGTGAAATTGTAGTTTACTAACTTTTGTCTTTTTATACACGTGCTATAAAAGAATGTGAACGAAAGTGTACAAATCAATTTTTGAAAAATATTAAGCTTACGTGAACTTTTTTGTTGAAAAAGATATTTTTTGAATGTCTACAACGTTAATTTATTTTTCGTTATTAAACAAACTAACAAACTTCTTTTTTTCAAAAATTTTTCATGAAATGATTGGAAATATCTATTGCAAGGCAATCGAAGTGTACTTCATCGAATTTTCGTTTTACGAGCTTTATTGGATCCACGTGTATCAAGTGCGAGACTCAACGTAAAAAGTTACTTGAATTCATTTCAATGTTCAATTCTTTCAACAGAACTGTAACAGCGTCCAATTTTTTAAAGCAGAAAATTTAATTTATTGGAATATTGTAACGGCTCGAAAGTGAAAATGATAAAAGATGTTAAAATGAAATGTATTGTATTTTACAACTACCACCCATGACAAAGAACATCGGAAATCAGTGATTCCCCAGACTGCGGATGTTTACCCATTTGTGGCAAATGATAATCTATGGATGGTTAACCATCGTAAGAAAAGAACATATGTCTATGTAGATATTTCTGTATTTTCTACAATTATCATTTTTTCAGTTTGTGTATTTGCATTTTTGTACCAAAATATAAGAATATGCTTTCGGTGATGGATAAAGTGTCTTTAATTACCATTCAGTGATATACGTGACTCCCTTAATATTCTTCATGCGAGATTTGCTTAAGAGGGTAAGAAGTTCCAGAATGTTGAAAACTCGATTTTTATTTTTTGCTTTCAAACGTTCTGTGATTTTTTGTATATCGTACAAGCCACACAGTTGGATCGGTAAGCGTATGTTGGATAAACCATTCTCAAATACCATTATGATTGAAATTTACGATCAAATTTTTAAAAAAAGTTTTAAATACTACATCTATTACAATGGAAATCGGCGACGGACACTGTCTCATAATTTTCTGGGCTCCAAAATATTTTAGTTAAGCCAGGCCCTACCTTTCGATGTAACTTTTAATCCTACCAAAGCAATATATTCCAATGCAGAAGTTAATATACGAATAACTCGAGTCTCACGGAGATATTAAAAAACTTTGTCGCGTCAAATGTAGTAATGTCCGCGGAGTTTTTATTTTTACACTCTGTGTCCGTGGAAACGTAAACCCGAGTAGAAGTGAATCGAACAAACAACGCTGAAATCACGAGCGTTAAAAGCAAATGGGGATGGAAGTTGAAAAAATATTTTTCGTCCTTCCGCGTTTCTATGTATGTTCGTTTGCGTTTTATTTCCCTTTAATTTATTGCAAGAATCGCGTGTGTGAGCTGATCTAATAATAACATCCCAAGCACATGGAAAACTTTGCACGGTTGTGAATAAAAATGGCGAACGAGGACGAGCGACAACAACGAGGTCGCGTTGTATTTTTCTCGTATCGCCAGGTGCTAGGTTTCCGATCCGAGAGCAACTTTTACACCGCGTATCGCTCGAGCTGTCAATGGTCTGATGATGCCGGTCGAAGCGAAATATCAACGGGACCCGTTTCCTATCCGTACCTCGAGTACTCTCGATTTAGACGCTCGAACGAGCCCATGCGATAATTGTTGCGATAGAATCTTCGAGCTGCAATTCAATTTCTAATTTGAGATTAGGACATTGATTTATTCCATCAACGGGATATTCCGGTCAGAGCGTCATTTTTAGTTCTTTTCATAAAAGTTAGGAGAAACTGAAGTTCTTATTAATAATATTCTTGAGAAATAAGATATTTTTTACCAGAACATTATTATAAAATCCTTGATTACGATCATCCGCATTCTTTTTCCACTTGAAAATCCACGAAACAAATATCGCAAACTATATATCACGGATACAGAATAAAAAATCAGGAATTCAATGACCGAAACGTGACACAAGTAATGAAATATTTATCCCCATTAGTTTGGAGTAACACAGGAATACGTTGGTCCGATAATTTCGAATCGTTTTTCTACGTATCGGTGGAAAGCTATATTGATTAGAATTACTCACCACCGACAATCCTTTTTCGATCAGCAGACAAAGGCCCACGGGTATAGTGGAATCTGTAACAGAAAAAAAGAATTTGAAACGGATGATTCGGTGTTGTCCGACGAACGAACGCACGAAATTTTCGGCGATCCACTCATAACCGACAGCCTCAGAATTGTCCGAGCATTTTTTTCGAAATGACAAACTTCGAAAAGGTCAGTCACCCGAGTGTCCTCTGTGCTCGGTGGCAGAGAGGAAGTGACGCGTCTGTCATAGGATGTGACGTTCCAGAGGCAATCGAAAGGGAAGGGAAAGGGAACGAAACGGAGCGGAGTGGCGTGCGCGACGAAGGCTGTACGCTACAGGGAGGATAAACGCTGCTAGCTGCTAGTGATCGAGAGCCTCGCTCGAATGGTCGGCAGGGATAACAGAATAAAAAGAAAAAAGAAAGGAGACCGGCAAAAACCGATATCGAGCTACCAGCGACGAAAGCGACTCGTCGATAAATCAGCCAAAATAGCACTCGCTACAAAACGGAAGTTCGATTGGATGTCGTGTACCTACGAGTTAACGCGAAGTACCAGGGACCGTGGGAAACGCTAACAGCTTTTGCCGCATCTTCGGCCATTCTCGCGATAGATAAAAATGTGTACGAGTGCAGGTATCGTTTTATCGTATTTCGTGACAACTGGTGAAGGTTTATGGCACCTGCGACGCGACTGCTATCAATAGGTATCGATGATATGTATTCGAGCGCGAGCGGTTCTATGGCGAAGTACTTGCGAGAAACGTGGCTAGAGGTGGAGCTGAAGTGTACTTGACGCTATCGATGTTACAGTGACTCCCATTAAGGGAGAAGAGAGGTTTAGGACTACATTGTTTCAGTGATTTGTATGCAATTTTTTGGCAAGAAAGGAATGTGTATAATTTATTGAACCATTGAGAACATTTTATATACACAGGGTGTCCCACCTAATTCTTAAATATCTCGCGTGTTTTTTGTGATAGGAAAAAATGTCAGTGGAAAATGTTTTTTGGTTTGGAAGGGGACATACTATGATAGACAAAAATGATGATCTCAATATCATTGGCCTATTTTTATATGACATGGGGTATGTTTATTATTGTAATATTGTAGCTGATAAAAAAAACAAATTCAAACATTTCTTGCTCAAAGCGAATTGCTATAAGGATCTCTTAAAACAAATTCTTTCTGTTGCGTATTATTTTGAGAATTACGCTTTTTCTATGAATTTAAAATAAAAAAATACCGAAAGAATTCGTTGTTTGAAATAGCTATTTCGTCAATTGATCGATTGATCTTTATTTTCAAACAAGTGTGTTGAAAATAATGGCCTGAAATAAATGATTTCAATTAGTTAGTTCTTACTATTTTATTTTAATTCGAAAACAATCGAGTAAGTAGGAAACCGAAGAAATAAAGGAAGAAAGTAAAGGTTGCAGAAAACCCTTTAAAATTGGCGATACGCCAAGGCAAGATTCCTTATTGAGACATCCTGGAAAAGGGGTGAATGCAAAAGGTAGTCCATGTTCCTCAACATTTGTCGAAAAACGCAGTATCACGTTGAATTTTTACATTTTCATTTTATCTGGTACTCGGAATCGATCGACGTCCATGCGGAGACGAATGACTATTGGAACATTCGTAAAATACAAATTTCATTCCACGTTCGTTCCTTTATCATTTCGTAAACTGTTCTCGAAATCCACGGAGCCAAGACACTTCGGTAGATTACGCGGAATTCGACGCAGACGAGGACGATAGCGCAGGTATAGCCGTACGATTTCATTTCAAGCGGTTCGTCCCCGTATTCTTCCGAGTATCGTCCAACCCGGCATAAAATATGGCGAAACTTAAATAAGTTTAAGAGATGCAACCGTACGATAGGCAAACTCGTGAAATTGGGAGCCCCGGGATCCTTCTGGAAAAGGGTCATACCTGTAGTCCTCGAATGCGGCGACGCCGACGTTCAAAAATATAAGTATACGCTATATTGTCGATACTAGTGCGATTACTCAAAGTATCACGTTTCGTTTAGGGGTTGTTCATTAATGATGCATTGGTCCCGAGGGGCGAGGAGAGTTTAAAAAATCTCTACGTGACCTTACCTAGGGAGGAGAAATTAAAAGCCATTCTTACGTAATACATATTTCGATACTACGATAATCTCAGAACTCTCGATTAATTTAATACAAACGAAATAATGTGCATGGTATATTCGCCATATTCTTAAAAGATTTATCGTATCCTGAAAAGGACTCATCTTCGACAGAGATATATTAAACTTCATTCTCAACGAAAGAATTACGTTTTTATTAGAGGAGGACCTAAAAATATCCTAATAATTCTTCCTTATAAGCATACTAACGAAAATTCATATTCAAGAGAATTAACAGCGATAATTCTAGCTTAATAAAAATATATTACAGATTCAGATCGCACGGATACATTTACGAATAACTGTATTTTACTATTACCAAAATCATAAATAACATCGCTGGAAACATAAACTCTATTTCTAAATATGAATCTTTATTTACGAGATGCACGAGAAATATTTGTTTGTGGAGATTTAAGACTGCGAATACCCATTCTTGTTGCACGTGCAAATGTAAGGATTCTTTTGCGATGATTTATTTAAAAATGAAATTTTTATTCACAAATCTCTTATCTATAATATTCTCGAAAGTAACTGTACTGAACAATTACCGAGTAATATTATCACTGAAAACATGAATTATGTCACTTTTACATATGATCATTATGTGATCATATGATCACCTACTGTAAATGTCACAGGAATGCTGCTATAAACCACCATTAAAACGTTTAATTTCTGATAATAATCTCGGCGGTAGCTAAAATTAACAAACGAAACTCTTAAGGTACATCGACTTCACACCTGGAACTAATTTTATTTAATCCCTTCTACAAAAAGATTCAACACTCGCAGTGTAATTTTAGCGTTCCCGTAAAATGTAAAGTAGGCAATTAAGAAGAAATTAGGAGCAATTAGAAGCTTTTCAGAGGAGAACGAGACGATCTAGACAGCGCCAGGAACTTTATCCTATTTTATGCACGAGTCGGCGTCGACGTCCACGTAATATCATCCACGATCGAATTCACGCCAGAACTACCAGCGAACGTCAATGAAGTGACGTCTGAAAATTGAAAAGCACATAACGGAGAACGGGAAGTATTCCGGTTAAACTTCCGTCAATTTCCGATTAGTCATCTGCATAGTGATCGAAATAGTTCGCCAACGATACGCTTCGACGTTTCACTTCGGTACAACGATTTCATCAGGATGAAATAGGTACTCGTTCGATCTGGTAACGCATTATTTAACCCTTACGAGGGCATATCGGTATTATGGTGAAAAGTAGAGAAATATTTATAGGGTATCTTTTTTATTGTATACAGTATTTAATATTAGGTTTACGGAGATTCCTTATCAGATTTCTATTTCTGGAGTAGTGCTTCTATTTCTGGAGTAGATACCATTTCTTAAACTACAGTTACAAACGATAGAATGTAAAGCCACAGAATTAATTTCTACGCCTAATAAAATGTTATGTATTACATTTACTTCATATCAACGTAAAATTACGTCCAACGAAATTCAGAATAAATACCCTGATCCGACGAGCCATTACGCTCGTTGGTTGAAATCCACAATGCGTGTTCTTTCCTTGTTAATATGTAATTTCACTCGGTTACGATTCAACGTCGCGTGGCAGAGAGATAAAAAGTTTTTTATGCGGTCGAGTAACAATTTTTGGGTATCCCAGAGTTACCAGAGCTTCCCGTTAAAAAGGAATTCGAGCCTCGCTTATTCAGTGGCTCGCAAAATGTTCGGTGGAAAAAAGAAAGGGCGTACCGGAAAGGCAGCGATTGTTTCACCATAGCCGACACCTGTTCATGTCGACTAATTACGCAGCTCTTTCAATTCGAATGGGTTTTACGAATTTCCAACATTTTTCCGACCTGTACCGACCGATTCGAACACGCGCTTTCATCACACTGTGAATTATAGAACACGCTCGCTCCAGCAAAGAGACTTGATCGACGAATCAAACGTATTGTAGCTAACGTAAAGGAGTAAAACAGGTTACTATTATAATTATAGCACTTTCGATTTACCCGATGAATAACATTCCATGTTTTCGCGACAGGAGAGTCGCCCCAAAGGTTTCTTTTATTTTTTCAACCCCTTCCGCCACCCCTAGCCCCTTCAAAAATGCCGTTTTCTGAACCACCCTCTTTACAGGAATAAATTAACTTCTCATCAACTCTCGTCAATGCAACTTTGCACACACCCACAGGACACTTCAAAGCTACTCCTAACGAAGTTTCACGAAAATCGATTGAAAACTTCCATATTTCCGACCCTTTTAAAAACTTGTTCTCTTAATTGAGTCTACGACTGTATACATATAATATTTATTTCAGCTTTTCAACCAAAAAATGGACTTGGTTTCAAATCTTCTAACCATTTTCACATTTGCAAACACTCCTTCACACTCCTGCCGTACGTACTAATCCTAATATTAATGATACTTAACCTACTAATACTACGAAATAACTGATATAAAAATAAATATTCTTATTCCTACGTACCGAAGTCGGTGTAACTTTCATAACGCGAACGATAATATTTATTTAAATAGAGGTTAATTAAATTTCCCGCCGTACGTGAAATTTCATTTGAAAAGTCTACCGTTGTTTCGAGTGGAGCGTGGATTTTATAATTTATCAAATTTACTGTGTTGAATCGACATTGAATAAACGTCCTCGAAATCGAGGTTGATTATTCATTGTCCGTTGATAATTCATCGCGGTGCAAACAGGTTTGAGCATTGGGTTAATGGACAAATAACGACGAATTATTATATTAAATATAATTTCATTTAAAATGAATTGTCTTAATATTCGCGCTGCGTCTCAAATTGTTTGGATTTCGATAAATGTAATTCAATTAAAGAATTACGATACACTTATCTCTCAATTTACACGATGCTTTATTTACACAATTTTCAAGGTTTTAAAGAG